GGTGGGGTGCTCTGTTTGTTCTCCCTATTCTTTTCCTGTGCATGAACGTGCAAAGCTGATCCTCTCAAGTTCAGTCCTCCGTAGGATGGGAGGTCAGGTAAGGTAAAGCTGCACTTCTAAGGATGCAGGTAACGCTTTGATTTGGTTCCTGGCATGGGAAAAATTCCTCTTTCCTAAGGTGGCTCATCTACAGCCTGACAGGACTGAAGCTGTTCAGCCAGGCAGTGGCTCCAAACAAAAATTCCATTATAAAAATAGTTGTCCTTAAAAGAGAACAGAGCCTACAGTACATTTTGGCCAGCGTGCTTCTTAGCCGTTTTTCCATCAGACACAGCAGTAGGACAGACTTTGGGTCACAAGGTGTTGGAAGGTAGGGAGTCAGTCCCAATGTGTGAGTGCTGCCTCAGGGCAGACAGTGAGGGGTGGGCAGCTGCCTCAGCACGGGCAGCCCTAGTGCTTTGGGGCTGGGACCAGGGGCACACATCCTCACCTCCGCTGCCCATGGGTGGCAGCTCCCTTGACAGCCTGGTGACATCCTGCAGGACCTTGCAGTGAGGCATTGCAGACCATCCTTTCTCCCCCTCGCACTTCACACACACAGTGCTTTTCCATTAGCACTGAGTGATGGGCTCCACAGGTGGGAAAGCAAAGGAGGTGAGGATGAGAGACTAACCCTTGTGATCCAGCACTATCTTAGCAAGATGAAGGAAGCACCGCTAAAGTAACATATCACTGATTTCTTTCAAACATAAAGCACCCAGTTTAAATATAAACAAATAAATAATAAGAACGATTGGATTAAGTGCTGTTATTAAACATTAATAATTTTTCTTCTTTTTGAAGGGTTTTGAATGGGTTGATTGTTGGACTAGATGATCTCAGATGTCATAGAATCATAGAATCATAGAATGGCCTGGATTGAAAAAGACCACAGTGATCATCTAGTTTCAACCCCCCTGCTATGTGCAGGGTCACCAACCAGCAGACCAGGCTGCCCAGAGCCACATCCAGCCTGGCCTTGAATGCCTCCAAGGATGGGGCATCCACAACCTCCTTGGGTCTTTTCCAACCTTAACAATCCTATGATTCTACATAAGATTCCCTGGGTGGAAATAGAACACTTTGCTACTTCGTAAACGTTTCAGTGGAAGCTTTAACTGTCATTGCCATATAGCAAGTGAACAAACATTCAATTGCAATTAGGCCATGCATCATTTCTGGAGCACATCCCGAGCTGATCTTTAGCAGTACTGGGAAAAATTTTGGGTTTGACACTGCTCTAGACTAAGAGTGGAACGAGACTGGTGCAACTGCTTTGATTTGGAGGTAATGTCCATTATCCCAGTCACATAGCAGTAGTTTTTCTAGACAAAGTGAAATAGTCAACCAATGAAAATGCAAACCATGACATTGACTTCAGTGAGAGGAACAATGAATTGTTTCTCATGTTTTGAAAGAATCAGAAGAAACAAACAAAAGCAAGATTAATTAGGAGCAGGAGTTCATGACTCCCTCTCCAAATGAGAAGGGAACCACACTGAACAGAACACAGCAGCTAGTTATCTGAAGTAATTTTGGCATTTTCCATCTGAGCAATCAGAAAATTTTCTTTGCAACCAAGTATCCCCAAGACATTCATAAAACACTTTTCTGGCTACCCAACGTGATGATTAACTTGTGTCCCCAGGTTTCATTATCAAGCTTTTAATCTCAGCCTGAACTCTCTGATCTGTCATCTGAAGCAGGGAGGGAATATGCAGTGGGGGTTTTTTTCCCAGCAGAGACAAACAAACCGCTTGCTAAAGACACTATGTGGGAAATCTAACTTACAGATACAAGAATGTGGAAATTTGGTTGTTCATTTTGTAGCTCTAGGAGTAGCTGATGTTTTAATTCATTTTCAGGATGGATCTCATATTTCCAATTACTGTAAGTAGGGCAACAAATTTCATCTGAGAAGTTCAATAGAAAATTCCACTGTTTCTGATGAGATTTGAGAATAAATGTTTGTAAACATAACACAGTTTAGGAATTTGCCTTTTCTTAAGCCTTGCCTAAGCTTGGATTGGGAAGGTGCGATGCACCATGTCAACAATCCAGTGTAGTTAAGCACCATGTTTTTAATGCACAGTTTTAACCCAAGTTTTTTACAGGGTGTTATTACTACATTGTTTGGAACTTTCTAATCTAGAAATCATCTATGATCAATGAAAAGACAGGCTGAAAATCAAAGCAGGCTGATCTTAAGGTGCCACCAGATTGTGTCCTGCTCCACGCAGGACATGCTGTCATGCATGGCTCAGCTGCAAGTTTTAGAGTTTGCAGGGACATGCATGGATGCTAGAGATATGCCAGGAGTGAGGAGTACATGAGCTGGGAGCAGATGGAGAGTAAAGGCAGAGAGTGGAGGGTAAATAGCAGCATGGAGAAACCTGAGTGTACAGCAGTTCAGTTACAGGGTTTTGGTGGGGGAGATGAGGATGGTATTATGACCACTGGGAATCAGAGAGGACAAGGCATTGTGTGGTGGGTGCAGTGCAGGGACATGATGCCCAGAAAGGCCAAGTATTTCTTAAAAAGCTACAAGCACCTCTGTCTCTAAAGCTAAGTGGAGAAGTCCCCCACAGAACATCTTCAGAAAGCATAGTGGCAGAACACAGGTGTTACCAGAAGCCTGGATGATGCACCAGGATTTGTTCTTCCTTTATTCAGTTCTATCCCCTCAATCCACACCTCAGCTCATGCAGTCACCAATCATGTGTGCAAACAGACTTAACGTAAGTCATACAGCATCTGTTGATATTTATTAAACTGTGGCTTCTGTTTGAGGAGGACATGGTATTATCCCTTGTGGATGTGGCTCTATATCTGTTATTACAATATGGATTTAATTAAGAACACTCAAGTATGTGTTTCCAAAATATGATATTACTTTTATCTGTGGTGGCAACACTTTCATAACCATTTTCTCTTAATAGCAGCATCCTTTGGGAAGATGTGATAGACACATTTAGGTAAATATTATTCCTCCAGCACACGTGGTTTCCATTGCAATTGGTTCCCTGCTGTTTCCTTCTAAGCACTTTTCTCTTTTACACATGCCACGATGCTAGCTGAAATACTGATCAGCGACAGCAGAGACAAATTGACTCCAGCAACGGTGAGTTCTAAGGGCAACAAATGTCTACATCTCAGTTTTGCATGTATCGTAGCTACTAAGAGATTTTAGGCATGCACTGAAACTTTCACTGGAACTGAAAGCTTAAAGCTGCTCAAGGGAGCAGAAGATGGGTTTTATGGACATTGAAACTGGCACTGCCATTGGATAAGGTTTTGTAGCAGAAAATAACAACAATAAGCTGGGAAGAAGCAAGTTGGAAGCCACTTTTTTCCACTGACTGTGCTTCTTCAAATGTATGTCCAACTGTAGCTGCTGATGCAGAAGGGTGATAACACAGAAATGGACACAACTGTGTACCCAAGCCTTGACCAGAAAATACTTATCTTTACTACTGCCCATTCATTTTACTGGAGCAAAGGACAAATAACATAGCACAGTCATAGGCATTACACTGCTGAAGACACGAAGGAAGGTGGAAGCAGCCAACCAGTGGGACATATGGGAGGAGACAGCCTTTTAACATGGGCAGATAGTGATAAATTAAAAGAGGAGAGATTTAGATCAGATGTTAGTAGGAAATGTTTCACTTTGAGTATGGTGAGGCCCTGGCACTGCTGCCCAGAGAGCTGTGGGTGCTCCATCCCTGGAGGTGCCCAAGGCCGGGTTGAATGGGGCCCCAGGCAGCCTGAGCTGGTGGGAGGCAGCCTTACAGCAGGGCATTGGAACTGAATGTGTTTTAAGGTCCCTTCCAACCCAAGCCATTCAATGATTCTAGGAACCACCTCATCCCATGCATTTAAGCAGGATAGGGAATGCATTAACAAGTGTGCAGGTTTCAGTGGTGCATCACTCGTTTGAAGGGGCTGAACTACATTCCCCACAAATGTCAGCCACTGTGGCAAGAGCAGATGGAGCAACTGGGATTCTGTGGAGCTCAAGCTCTCTTTCTATTAGTTGCTTATTATTAAGCACTGTGGGCTGGAAACATTAGAGAAGATAAAATTATGCCCATCTCTAGATTCTGATGCTTGCAGGTGTTATGCTGGGATCTGCATTTATGCAAAGCACCCCGTAACACCCTGCACCATCTGCTGCCAGGCTGTCCTGACTCTGATTTGCAGGAAATTATACAATCAAAATCTCATGGAAAAACATGCAACAAGGAATACAAGATGACTAAAATACTCAATGCTCCCAGAACCAGAACTTTTTACCAGGAGAAATATTGAGGCCAGGAAGACCTTCCCAGCACAAACTGGAATCACTGCAACTTATGTATGTTCACATCCCCTGTTTCTTCCTCTTGGAAGTGACCCCATGCTGGCACTTACCTTTACTTTGGGGAACACACTTCTGATTTGTATTTCCTCATATTGAGAGAGAGAGAATAAACTCTCATTAAACCTTGATAATGTGAAGCACCACAAAGGAGATAACCGAAGCCATGCTTGGTGAGTGAAAGCAAAACAACAGAGGACCCCTAGCAGGACTATCCCTCCACCTTCCCCAGAGTCCACCATCATGCCCATTTTAAAAGCCTGTGCAAAGCCTGCAGCAATAGGATAATCACAGTAAGAAGAGCTTTCTTGTCATGCTAATAGAAATTCTCATTAATTGATATCACTACCAGAGTCCCTGAGCCTCAATTCAAGCAGCAGGGGTTACACAGCATGAGAAAGGCCCCATTGCTGCAAGTATTAATGAGCTGAATGGTTAACACCTGCCTCAGGAAATCCAGGACCAGCTCACAATAAATACAGCAGAACCCAGGCAAGAGCTTGGTGTAGGCTGGGAGGAAAACTCAACTCTGCATCACAGGGATGCTGCAGCACAGCTCTCCTGTACCAGGCTAGGAACCTTCCCCTGTAACAGGGGGAGCTCAGCAGAGAATTGGGCTTTTTCTCAGCATGCTGGAAAAGAAAAGGGCAGTGCCTGCAGGCAGCCCAGGGAGGAGCATGTGCAGGTGTGTGCTCACAGGTTGTCCTCAGGAATGGGTAACGATGCTGGGAGAGCTGAAGGTGGAAAACGCTTGCATTTGGTTGCATTAAAACACAGGCGATTACAAAAGAAAAACTATTCACAGCACGCTTAGAATAAACACAGTCATTCTTTACCATACAGAGTAACACTTTGTACATAAATAATTTGAATGTCTCGCTCTTTCACGGAAAGTAACAGAAAAACCTTCAAGGTTGATACATGGAAGCTGGTATTGCAAATCACACCTGGTCAAACCCAAATCCTGCATCCAAGCATCCTGACACTGGGCTCCAGAGCTGACCTCTGCACCGTCTCCCTTCTCTGATGCAAAGGAGCTGAACCATGACCCTCCTTCAGAAGGCCATCCCCAGCTTCAACCTCTGGATACAGATCCCAACCTGCACCCCCTCACCGAGGTCCAAGCCCTTCCACCTGCAGTGGTGTGAAACCTTGTTGGTAGCTGCGGGAGGAGCCGCTGCATTCTCCAGCGTGTGTTATTTCTAAGTTATTTGGAGTCTGCTGAGCAAACTGGGCTTACTCCAGCCAGGTCCCTGCAGCTATTGCTATTTCTTGGCTGACAAGCTGACTACTGAAGCAACAAGGCTAGGTATTGCAGAGCCTGGCCACATTTGACTAAAACTGGGATTGTTTATGCAGAACAGCAGTGTGGGAACAGCTAAGCAAGCTAGCGGGGCTGTGGGGAAGAAGCATTCTGCAACAAGAAATTGGAGCTTTGATCAAGCAGACAGCAGCATTTGACTCAATCTGAGCTGGCGGGGAGATCACAACCCGAGCAAAATAAAGCGTGTTATTCCTTTCAGGAGATGAACTTCTCCCCAATAATCTGTTCCTCCCAGAATTGTTTTATGTGATCTCATTGTCTTTAAAGTCTTCTCCCTAAGGAAGCTGATCGTTTAATATAGACCACAGCAGTAGTATCCGGTATTAAATCAGTTGGGCTGCTCTGAAATGAGGCGAGTGGGCGTCCTGGAAAGAAAATATAGGCACAAGTTTAACAGAAGAGATTGGTTCACCTCAACCCACTCTATTTATCCCAAAAGACACAGAAACACAGCTCTCCTGGACAGGGTCACACCACCCTGCTGTAGATGGGCTTCGTGCTCTCAGAGCCCATTGTTAGCCTGAAAGTGGTTGTGGGAGACTGATGTTGCAGCAGTGCAGTGCTCTTATTTTGGTATTAGCCATATATCAATTGCACGCAGACCCATGAAAAAGCAGCATTTTTGGCTTTGTTGTGAGCCAGCAAGACATGATTCTTCAGCTCCAACACTGAAAACACTCATTTATCTCATTTAGCGTCTTATTTTAAGCTTAATAATTTAGCCCAGGACTGAAGTGCCAGCTAAATGAGGTAATTTATAATAATTCTGAAAACATGCTAGCAATAAAAGGCTGTAATCAGAGCTAATTACAGGGATACTTTTGAAATCCACTGGTTTGGGGCTTTAGTTTTGATAAAGGGGATAACAACTTGTAAGCCTTGAGCCTTTTAATTACAACAATAGTAACCACCTACTTTCGCACAGCTTCTTTCATCTCAGAAAAACCAGCAGCTTTCTGCAAACTACATATACCGCAGGAACTACTTAGCATAACACCAAAATGAAGCCATCTCTGTATGAAGTAAGTAACTGTTCGACAATAAACCTATGCAAAAAAGCTTAGAGGGAAGAGCCTAGAGAAGGAAGATAGAATTTCTCATCTCTTCACAAACAGGCTGCCCACAGAAGCTGTGGGTGATCCATCCCTAGCCAGGTTGGATGGGACCTTGGGCAGCCTGGTCTGGTGGGCAGCAACCGGACCACGGCAGGGAGTTGAAACTAAATGGGCTTTAAGGTCTCTTCCATCCCAAGCCATCCTATGATTCTATGAAACACTCTAGACATCCTCAGTTGCCCATTGCAGAAGACTTCTGATCTCCTCAATAAGATAGGCAGCTTTTATACACACCCAGCAAAACAGAGCACTACGGAGGAGGACAGCAAACAAGGCAACGTGGCACCATATGGCAAGATGACTCCAAGCCCATCCCCAGCTCACCTGTCCATGTTCTCTGCTGGGTGATGATGAAACTCTGACACTGTGGCTGGGAGCTACAAATGGCAGCGGCCTCCTCGGGGCTGTGGACAGACAGCAGGCAGCCCAGGTGGCTGTAGGAAGGCCAGCACTTGTAGGCTTCTGCTTCCTCCGTCCGGAAGCCCTGCAGGGAGATGTAATCTGGGAACACAAAGATGGCATGTGGGGAAACGCCAGGTGCACCTTCAGAGACTACTTGTAAAATGAACTTAGTATTTTGCACTTGGATGAAACTCTAAAAGGAAACGGGATAGTGACAGATTGACCCAACAAACCCAAGCAGACCATGTTAAGGCTATTGTTGAGTTGATTAAGTGTCTTTCCCCACCTTTATGCACAGCTAGGATGGTGACCATTTTGATACACAGGGAGTCAGTTGCTATGCCAAAAGGTAGGTGGCACGGGAAAATGTTGGGGTTTCCTGTTAAAGTTGCTTGCTCTTCAGTGCACATGAATGGATATCTTTGTTCATAACTGAAAATTCCACACACACTAAAGGATTTCCATTCTGAAGGCACCTTCACTCCTCCAAAATTCAGGTGCGGCACTGAGTGACACGGTTTAGTGGGCGTGGTGGTGATGGCTGGACCAGGTGATCTTATTGGCCTTTTCCAACCATAATGATTCTATGATCATGTCAAGGGGATACTAAGGAAGACTTAAGCCATGGCAACCACTGGACTTTTGAAGCCTTCCACTAGGGAGAATAATTAGCCACCTTGTCTGTATTATATTTACTTTGCAAAACAATGCAACCATGCACAAGACACACACAACACAAGACAGCTCAAATGAGGGGTAAAAAATATAAACTTTCAGTCCTTCATTCTACTCCCAAGTGACCACAGTACCTGAATGTACAGGAGATCAGAATTGGACCAGTCTCCAAGTTCCTCACTCACTCAGTAAGGCAAGCATCCCTAACATTCCGTATGTCAGGTAAAGCACTCAAATTCCCATACCTTTTAAAAGAAGAGGTCTTTTCTGTAAATAGAGCCCAGACTTGTACAGATGTAAAACCTTTTCAAAAGCTCTCAGGGTTTCATTTATTCCATATCGTAAGTTACCTGCATTGAAAGAAAAGATGATAATAACAAGTAATTATATGACATGCCATCTAGAGTCTTCTAATAAAGAAAGCTTAGTTTACAAATACGAGATGGTACCTGTTGCGTTCAGAATATCACTCAAAAAGGGCTGCAAAGCTGGTGGTGCAGAGTGTGGCAGAAGATAGGTGAAAAAATACCTGCAAAAATCCCAAAGACTGATTAGAACACAGCAGCTTACCTTCCCCTGCGATTGTCTACTTTTCCTGTGACTCAATTATCCATAGTCAGCTCTGGTCTTTCAGTTATGTCTGAACACTTCAGATGGTTCTTGTGAGCTGGTCTGAATCACAGAACATCCCAAGTTGGATGGACCCATAAGGGTCACTGAGTCCAGCTCCATCTGACAGCTTGGTCCTTGCAGTGTGTTTTTCGTGCACACTGCTTGAAGTCTGGTTTGTAAAGGCTCCAGCAATGCAGCTTTCCCTCATTTCCCAAGTTGACTTTCGTGTAATGGATTTCCCATTGCAATATAATAAGTTATAAAAATAATAATAAAGACCTCTAAAAAGGAAGGCTCATGCAAGACCTTTCCATTGCCCTGAAGGGACAGGGTATTCTTGTTAACCCTGGAAAACCAAGTGAGAGTGACTCAGCAGCCTGTAGCAAGTCTCAGCCCACTGCCCATGGTGATCCCACAGCTTCCTACCATTTCATAGAGACCCACAGCCCAACGTAGAGGTGAATCAGCCTGTTCCCAGCCGCAGCGGGCCAGAGCTGGTGCACTCTGGCAGATAACCTGAGCTGCTTTTGGCAAACATAGCCCTCAGGCTTCCAAATGCCACGGCTTTCAGGAGGACTTGTTTGGCAAACGAGTTTACAGGTGCAGCCTTTGGGGCAAGTTCCTGGAGGGCGTTGGAAAAGGGCAGCAGAAGAAAGGAGCCTGCTTCCCCACCAGGCAACAGCCCAACCATTTTCCTGCCTTATAAGGAAAATAAGTTTGCTTCAAAGCCATCCTTAGCTACCGTCTAACAAAGCTGAGGGGGAAGCACGCGTGGAAGAAGAGCATGTGGCACTGCGTGAGCTCACACCACCTGCACATACCGATACGCGTTGAAGAGGTTCCTCTTCTCATTTATTCCTTCACACTTCCCAGCCGAAGAGCACTGGAGAGGAAAGCTTTTTGTGGGGAAGTCAAGAGTGCAGTCATTATCCTCCTCACACGACAGCTCCTCGGTGCTGGCATCATCCATGTCTGTCACTTTGACGTTCCCATCCACCATAACAAACTGCCTCGGCTGGAAGTCCAAGAGGACTATTGAGCCTAGAGGGGAGTGTGCCAAGTAGAACAGCAGCTCCACAAGGCCCAGGCAAATCTGAGAAAGGGAAGATGAATATGCATGGGAAAAACAGATGAAAAACAGCTATTAAATTGCAAGTAGAACAAAGGGGAGGGCATTTGATGAAATTAAAGGCAAAAAGGCACACAGTACTTAAAAGATAATTATATGTATGCTACAAAATTTATTATCAACATTGCCATGGGATTCGACTGCAGTAAGAAGTTGAGCAGCATTTTTTGCCAATGTGTGTATACAAAGAGAGATGTTTGCAGTTAGAGGAACTGGAGGAGAGAGCTGCGAGGAAAACAATAGCAGCCCTCACGTTCCAGGAGCTGTATTGATTTGCCAGCTGAAATCAGAAGGGTTTTTCCCCACTCTGGCATAGAATTAATGCATACCCCTCCCTTCCCCCATGCTGCTCCATACAGACCGAGGCCCCACAGTCATTAATACCAGATTCACACTCTGCTGCATCGATCAGCAGCACGAATTTGGGCACACAATCATGCTTCTGAAGAAGCAACCAAAGCATGCAATGTCTTTCTTGCCAGCTTTTTGCTTTTATGGCAACTTTCTGGCAGCAAGGGAAGCTCAGACAATACCTGATCCAGTGTAATGCTTGCTGAACAATATTTGGACAAATCAGAACTAGAAGTGCATTCACACCAAAGCAGCCCTCAGGTTGAGCACCGCAGCATGTGCCCCTCCATGCCATGAGCCCCACATCAGGAGCTGTGTCACCACCACACATGCATGGGAAAGACAAGCTCCCCTCTCGCCTCAGGTAGCAATCTAGGCTTGGAACATTCACAGCTCCTCTGGAGCTCATTAGAGGGGAAATCCCATCCTTTCAGATGCTTTCATTAGGAAACAGGACCAGACAGTACCAGTCTACCTTATGTATTATTGTCTTCATCAGTCAAAAGATTGCTACAAACTTAATACAAGCTCACCAAATCTTAATGCCACTCCTTTCAGTAGCTAAAGGCACCCTGCTTTACATAACTTTATAAAGTGCTTTTCAGAGCTGGAGGTATTTGATCTTTCCTCCCTTGGATATTTAGCAGTGGAAGTGTTTGTGCAGCTGGTACTGACATGGGGCTTTTGCAGTCACTGACCATTTATACTCCTGGAAAGCTACCAGGATAGAAGGGGATGGATTCTCTAAGCAGGGTCTGTTGTGACAGGACAAGGGAAAATGGTTTCAAACTAAAAGACCAGAGATTTACACTGGATATAAGGAAAGTCTTTTTACACTGGGGGTGGTGAGGCACTGGAACAGGTTGCCCAGAGAGGCGGTGGATGCTTTGTCCCTGGAGACATTCAAAGTCAGGCTGGATGTGGCTCTGCTGGAGCTGTGGGTGTCCCTGTCCAGTGCAGGGGATTGGACTGGATGGCCTTTAAGGATTTCTTCCAACTCAAATGATTCTGAGATTCTTTTGGAACCTCACCACCAGCCAGCCCAGTACAGAGGGTTTCTGGTTCTACAAGAGATCAATACTTTTAAGAAGACTAAGTGCAGAAAAGCCAAGAAGCAGCCAGCATAAACCTGCCTGTAGGCTGACATGGAACTCCACGGGTCAAGAGATGTGACTCTGGAAGCTTTGATGCTATTTTAGCTTGGTCAGTGAAGCAAGCAGAGAAAACCCAGCTCTTTGTCTCACTTCTGTGGTTAAGGATGCCACACTCCTCACTGTATGGCAAGGCTCCTTCCCAACACTGCTTGCCACAGGCAGGCAGGGGTTTTGTTTGAGGAGTTTTGCTGTGTTTTTCTCTTGCTCCAAATATTTCTTACTGACATCAAGGTGCGCACACTTCTACCTGATGCTTCCTTTCCTCTCAGGAAGCAAACAAGCAGCAGTGAACCCCCAGCAGACACCTTGAGGCACTCTGTAAAGCAACCATAGTCCAACCAAGCTTCTGGGGAGCTGAAGAGCTTCTGCATCACACTCAGAACTGAGGCAGAGCTCACGGACAGGGATGCACTCCTATGGCATAAAGGAAGGAGTGCTCAGCAGTGCTCATGTCCTGGCAGTACCTGAAGATTCTGCTCAGAACACAGAGGGCTTGCAGCAAGCCACGGTCTTGCTGTGAAACCCCTCTATAGAGTGGGACAACACAGAGGGAGAGCCAGAAATACAGAATAGGATGCTGACACTACTCAGCGTTTCGGACCCAGCGAGATGCTTTACAGAAGAGACACAGCAAACTCCAGGCTGGGGCAGCTGCCATGCCCTTTCAAAGGGCTGAAAGCAGGATGAGCGGAGATCTGTCGGCATGAGCGGCTTGACAGCCCCGCCCGCCCAGCGGCCATCGGGCGCTTCTCACATTTACTCGGTCCGAGCTCTGAAATCCCACCGACGCCCCCGCCGCGTTCTGTTTTCTTACTTTGAATCTCTCCTCCCAGGGGGTCTGCAGAAGCTGGATCATCTCCAGCGGGGCTCCCAGCTCCAGCACGGCCGTGACCCCGGCTTCGGGCTCCCCGCCGCCGTCGTAGCACTGCCCGTGCAGCTGCAGAGAGGAGCGGCCGTCAGCGAACCCGTCCCGCCCGGCAGCCGGCACCCCCGGCCCCTCCGTACCTCCGTACCTGCACGATGCCGGGATGCCGCAGGCGCCGCAGCAGCGTCACCTCCTTCAGCAGTTTGTACGCGGCCAGACGGCGGCAGCCGGCGGGCGCCCCGTACCGCTGCTCGCACTGCCGCACCTCCCGGCCCGCTCCGTGCACCGACTTCAGCGCCACGGCCCCGCCGCCCGCCAGCGCCGCCCGCACCACCACCTTGGTGAAGCCGGAGCCCAGCACCGGCGCCGCGCCCGCCGCCCTCCGCACGTCCCCGCAGCGCAGCCCGCCCTCCGCCGCAGCCCCGCCCGCCGCCAGCCGCCGCAGATCCCGCCGCCGCTGCCGCAGCTCCTCCAGCAAACCCGGCGGCAGCTCCGAGCCCGCCCGCAGCGCCTGCGGCGGCGGCAGCAACAGCAGCAGCAGCGCCAGCGCCGACAGCGCCAGCAACGCCGCGCTCAGCGCCGCGCCCCGCCGCCGCCCGCCTGCCTCCATGGGAGCGGAGCCGCGCTGTGCCGCGCTCCGCCGCGCCGGGAGCCGAGCGGCGCCGAGGGGCGGGGCGGGCAGGGCGAGGCCGGGAGTGGCGGGCGGGCGGGCGGCGCCCAGGGCGGCCCCGGCACCTGCGGGTGTCGCGGAGCGAGGTCGTCTCCCAGAAGGGCAGAGCTGCGGAGGGCGGCGCAGCCGCGCAGCGCCGTGCCCGCCGGGTTAGCTGTAGGGAGCGGGTGAGTTTCAGGTCTGAATGCCATCCCTCCTGCCGATGGTACCGCAGTGCGCGGCTCGGAGAGGTAAAGCTTAAGCAGTAAGAATTGAGATACAAGTATCCGGACAGGTTTATAATAAAAGCAGGTATCGGCTGTCTCTTCTTAGGATAAAGTCAACAGCACAATGCTGGCTAAAGCGTGAGTTTGTAACTGTTTGCAAGACAAATGGAAATTAAAAAAAAGCCGCTCTCCACCCAGAGCAGCCGATCCAGGGACAAAGCACGGTGCTGGATTGTAGGGATCAGTGGTGACACACACACAGCTCAGCACCGCGTTTGTGATGTGAAGAAGAGAGCTCTCTTGTGTCGCTGAGTTTGCACGAAGGAAGCAGGACAGGGTGGGATGGGATGGGTTGTGATAGGATGGGATGTCGGGAGATGCCATGGGATAGGATGAGGTGGAATGGCACGGGATGGGATGGATTGGAACGGGATGGCACGAGATGCAACACGATCCAATGTGATGCACTGCCTGGCATGTGATGCTGTGGGATGGGATGGGATGTGAAGGGATGCAGTGGAATGGGATGGGGTGAGATGGTACGGCATGGGATCCTATGGAATGAGATATGATGCCATGCAATGGAATGAGAAGGGGTGCCGAAGAATGCTACGGGATACCTGTCTCTCACTGGAGAAACATGCAGGAGTGGATATGAGTAGCAGCACCACAGTGGAATGCAGACTGAACCCTGAAATCTTCAGGAAATGTACAGCTGAGAGCACGGGGAGGGCAGGCAGAGCCCACAGCCTCCCAGTACGCACCACTTGCTCATCCTACGAAACCCGTGTAAAATGATCCTGAAACATTCTGTCCTTCTGTGCGTATCCAAGCACGGATCAGTTACAGCCTGATTCCAAGGCAACTCCTCTGCTAGTTGAGTTTCCTTTGTTGCTTTTTAACCTTAACGGCTCTTTAATTACTGTCCTTATTTGCAAATCAAGTGTACTTCTGTGTCATATTAATGAATATTCATTGTTACTGCAGAGCGCTTACCTGCATTTTTACCTGTGTTTCCAAGGGAATAGATGCTAGCTGAGTGCAGTATTATTTAATTTCAGCACCATAACAATATCAAGACCTGTTAGAGAAGACTCACAGACAATAATAGTAATAATGATAGATTATTTATGTGCTTTATGTTAGCACTTAGGGGTTCCTGCCAAGACCACAGCTCTGTGGTCCGAGACTCCTTGTGTTGGGGCGCACAGTCTTATGTGGGAAGGAGGGCATTACAGGAAGCTTTCTAGTCTCCTAGTTTTGACCTCTTTATGTCATTTTATTTTCAGTTTTCTGAGCTCACAGTAACTGCTGATTTCACAGCAAGAACCTGAGATCACAGGGAATGAAATGGAGCACTGGGTTCGCTCAGCCCCAGTGTCACCTGGTAGCCTAAAGGCTGCCACAAGGCAGTGATCAATGACAAGACATGTCATCGGAGTCCCGCCAAGTGAGATCAAAGCAGTGTAGGCAGTGAGATGGAGAAACCTGCTGGTTTCCATGAGCAGGTTTCCTACTGAGATGCTGGCGGGACTGTGGAGGGCATGCAGTGATTGAATGTGCTGCACACCCCCCAAACTGCACTGTAAAGCTGTCGTGTGAGGAGGCAAATGGGAGCTGGATAAATGAGCCCAACGGGCAACAAAACATCCCAATTCATGCTTTGCACACTTGGCTCCAGCAATAAGGACAGTGCTGTTCGCTTCTCTGTCTGCATTCATTCCCTGAGAGGCTACTCCCTTCTGGCACTGATGCTGGCTGTGCTCCTGGGCATGGGGTGTGGGTGCAGAACTGTCTGTGGTGCTCCAGACAAGCGAGGATAAGAAAGGCTTTCCGTCACCATATAAAGAGAATCGCCTCCCCCTGCAAGACAGAGCTCCTCTGTCCCCTGCTTAGTTCCCTCCCATCCCAAGAGAGTCTAGGCAGTGGCCTTTTCCCCGCTTCTCCTCTTACTTGTCCGCCACACTAAAAGGGGTAAGATCAAGATCCTGGGTTAGCATAAAAAGCTGGGAAGAAATCCTAAGGGAAACTCCTCACACACATGAAAGCATTGGGCAACAATCCAGAAAGAGTAGGCAGAGTTTACAATTCTGATCAAAGAAACCCGCAGCTGCCATCCATCAGAACATGGGGAAGGCTCAGGCACTGCAAGAATTTGGGAATATTTCTTGCCACAGGTGCCCCCACATCTGGGAGCATCCCTCACCTGGGCTCCTGGCTAGGATCCTAGCAGGCACCTGTGCATCTGGGAGAGGGAGCAGAGAGAAACTGTCCTTCTCTGCGTGCGCATGAAGCTGCAGTCCTGGGTCTCTCCAAAACCTCAGGACTGGGGAGCACCGCTGCTGCTCGATGCATCTTCGATGAGAGCTTGCCATCTGCTGGAAGGCGATCACATTTACAGGCAACAATCCTGCAGGAATTGCTAGCTGGGGGACGGCTTGTGACAGCTGGATGGTACTGGGGTTTGCTGCAGGATATTAACATGGTACAACCCCTTGTCCACCGTGAGTCCTTTCAGGCACCCCACTACAGAGAGAGCAGAAGGGAATGCATGCCCCTAACACATTCCAACTCACTCATTATAGGGCAGAGGCAGCTGCATCCCATGCCAAGCAGTCTGCGTACTGTCAGCAGGATACACCACTCCCCTTCACAACTCCCTCAGGGCCCCCAGCACTGCTGAGATGCATCCCTCCCTGGGCCATCTCCAAACCCAGCCCCTTGCACACCCAACCCCACTGGCATTGAATATCATGCACCCTAAAACCCACTCCAAACACACACATCCAGCTACAAGTCCTTAGGTTTCCACATCAGGTTTTATTAATGCATAGGAGAATATGAGCAGATTTCCAGCAAAAGGGAGTGCGGAGCTGGTCTACGGGCAGCCTAAACCTCTAGCAGCACAAGTGCTATTACCTCTGGATAGAAGTAATATTAGTATACTGCACAGCATTGCTGATGTTGCCAAGAGCAGCACTCTTACTGGCCTGTTATCCCTCTGCTGCTCTGCATGAGGTGATACACAACACAAGCAAACCAAAGCGATCTCTAAGAAGCAGAACCCAGCACAGAAACTTGACAGTGTACATTCTGAGTTCTCCCTCTCAAGGTGATAACACCAACAGTGCTAAGGGTCTCGAGTTCCCTTCATTTCATGACAGATTTTATGCCTAAACTCACATTAGGCATCCACGTATTTCTGGATTTTCACAGTATCATTTTTCCCATAGCAGAGCCAGGCTGAAAGCCAGCCCAGAGCAAGCAGTTTTGGGACAGCTGCAGGATATTCTCTTGCCTTTGGCTCAGGCTGCATATGCATTTCTTTGAGGCAAGGTCAGTTTAAGCAGCATTTGACTTTAGGCACTCACTTCCAACCCTGCTGTAGCTATGAGGCAGTCCAGTCCAAGCACTGGAGTAGCTTCACAGTGAGCCAGATGGGGAAATGATCCAGGGCAAAATGAACCCAAGACCTCCCCCACAAGAACAGTATTGCCTGACTCTGACTGCTAGTGGAAGTAGAGGAGAATGAAGAAAATGAGGCAGAAGCAACAGGGACAATTAGTGATCACAGTGTCTGATTTTTGTTTCAAATCACTTCTTTCGATCATTTTTCTCATTTAGAGCAGAGATAGGAAAATTACTTTGACCAGGAGAATGGCTCCAAACTTCTCTTTTTAAGTTCAGTCCTGCATTCTGTGTTTTTTCATTGTGTAAAAATGAAAACCCCCACACAAGACCTTACTCAGAACATGTTGTGTTGTAAATAAAATTAGTGGAAGCTATCTGCTGGGATCTGACCTTAGGTTTGTATATTCCCAGGGATACTTCAGTGAGAGGATGTCCTTTTCAACATCTGGTAAGAACCAGAATCCCCCAGGAAAACAGAATGCTTTGCAATTCCAGGCATGCTTTCAGCTCAAAGATTTCCAAACATCTCTAGAGCAAGTCTCCTGAAGTTTTCTTCAGTAAATGATGAAGTTTAGAAAGTTTTCTGTCTAGTAATCATCTAAAGGTGCCTGAAAAATCTAGCCTCTGATCAGTGGGAAAATCTTCAAAATCTGATGAAACTCAACCACTTTCATTTCATGCTGTCCTTCCTGACGGTTACACCTTGAAACCCTTAGGAGAGCTCCTTGGCTTTAACTTACACATTACTCCATCTAGTGGCCTAAGGGTTCCTGTGTCCAAGAGTTTAAAACTCTGCCCTGGTACAAGCTGGAATTCAAACCTCTGCAGCAATTTTGCCATCACCACTTTAGCCTCCATCTGTTAAGAAGGAAAGCAAACTCATTATCATTGACAGAAAATATGGATTTGACAGCAGCTGCTGAAATTTAGCATGCTATGCATTACTGCTTTGTCAATATAGATTTATATATTAATGGCTGTGAGAATGGGAAGGAAGAACACAGTCAGCTGGGGCTTTCCAGATTTGAAGACAAGTAACAGACACAAAGATCTGTCCTTGTGTTTACAAACAAACTGTTTTGGTGATTCAACCATATTAATGTGATGATTTTGAGCACCAACACTTAGATAAGCTCATAGCACATTTCTGATTGCAAGGTACAGACGTCCCCTGTCACGGGCATGCTAGGCACCTTCCCTAGGAAGGGTAGAGGGGTACTGCACTGTCAGTAGGGCCAAAGTACCAGTATACTACGAGCTGGCCCAGGGCTCACTAACAGATTCTCATTACAGTTGTGCTCACCTGTGCAAACACCTGCCCAA